AAGTGGGCGACATCTAGGTTACATAATACGAACTTCAAACTGGGGGAAAACAAACTGTTGTCTATGGATAAAGTGCATAGACTACATTGCATTTCGCTTGCTGTAGCTGTAGTCAAACTTGTCAAGTGTTGGCACTGTTGGTAGTGATGATGGTTGAGTTGGTTAATTTTTCTACATTATTACATTTTTATTAGTTTAGTGAACAGTGAACGGGTGAAGAATTGGAGATAGTTCAAACAATTCAAACTAATTATGACGAGCAAATCAATTGACATATAAAAGAACAGCTACAACATGTTGACAATACCCAGATTGTCCTGCTTTGCATGAACAAATACAAATCCATTGTTCTACAGGAGTTCCTCTGGACCCCAATTTCAACTTTACTTCATGTGGGGAAGATTTCATCGCCGAAGTTTGTAGACAAAGTGCAAAAATGTGCCCTTTGTTGAAGTCTTCTGCCTCACACAAAATCACATGATTAGCACGGAGAACTGCATCTCCTTTCACTACTGGTCGGCTTTTTTCATCTAAATAGAGCAAAATATTTGCCAATAGAACATCTACAACAGGCATTATTAGCGTTTTCGATTGAATATTGACAATTAATGTCAAGAAATTTAAACACATCACTCTTATCAGTACACAGTACACAAGCTAATGGCACTAATGGGATTGAGTAAGGATTGAGTTTGTTTTCCCCCAGTTTTGACGTGGCTTTGACATGGAACGATGAAAATCGAGCGCTACCTGGTAACATTGATTCTCGCAAATAATCCTATAGTATGGAAAAGATAGCATCTGGTGCAGTTTGAGATGATTTTTAATGGTTTGCTGAATCATTCTAATACAGCTGATGATTGAAATGACATTATTTTACTCTTTTTCACAGACAGCAACATGCCTATCAGTCCTATTCCAATGAAAACTACTGTTGTGTGTCAAAAAAGATGCAATCACCTACTGACTGCTCTGAAATGCACTGGAATTTGTTATGTTGTCCTGAAATGAATCATAAACAAAGTCCAGTGCGTTTCACAGCACCATATTGGCGGACTGTACAGGGTGTCCCGAATTGCTTGATTTTGTCAGTTTTCTCTATTTCCAAAACAAATAATTGATACGCGATCTATTTTTTTGCAGATGTATCTCATTCTATGTAAAAAAGTGCCTGTAGAAAGTTTTTTCTGTTTAGAAAAATATTCAAAAATAAAAATGTTATGGCAGAAGTATTTTCGAAGTGGGTCAATGTAAATTTTCGCCTATATCTCGAGATCGGTTAGAGATATCGAAATGCTGCTACGTTTCACAAAAATCGAGCTCTAGACCCTTTGGTCAGTTTCTCTCTAGTTGTTCTAGAAAAAGGAAAAACTGACAAAATCAAGCAATTTGGGATACCCTGTACAGGGGAATGGCTATACGCCAACCAGTATAGCTGCTACCATAATTTCAAGTTGATCTCACTTTTAGTTCTCTATAAACTCCCACTGAATCAGTTAACTGAATCACCCTGATTGTGTGAAAAACTGAAAAAAAGACATGAATGTCAACAACTCTTTATCCATTACTCAAGCCAGTATAGTCAGATCTGGACATATTTTTCCAGAGCCCTCATAATATTATTTGTAATTTAAAAGTGAATTGTTGTAACAGGAAGGAAAAATATTTATGCTACTGTGATATGTTGGCCTACTGTTTAATGCAATGAATATTTTTCTAATTTTATGATGATGTTACATGATTTCATTTTGACCTGATTGAGTCTATGTGCTCATCACAGTTTTTATTTTAAGGACATTGTTATCAACGTTTATTGAACACTATTAAATAAAGAAAAAGTTTTTTTTATTCACAATGAAAAACTTTCAATTCCAATCTACCTGTACCCAAAATACCATCAGCCCACCTGAATCGAAATATATAATTCCATAAGATTAGTGAAGATTATATAGGGTGTTCCGAAAAAACGTTCGTATACAACTGGAGGTATTTCTACAGATGAAAATATGAAAAAATGCCCTAAATGAAGTTTTCTTCAATTATCTTGGTTACCATCGCCCTACACTGTTTTACCACTAACCAAACCGATTTTTTATACGCCTCGACACGTGTTTTGCTAACTATGTTAGCATCTTCAGTAGAAGATTGAAACTAAATATTCTATTCTAGTGTGCTACTTATCCAGGGTGTTGCGAAATTCGACCGACAACGCTTGACAGGTGATACCTCTCGTGATTTCATAATCACTGAGACAGGTACATACTGTCTCCAAGTGTTCTGTTCTCGAGATACAGGGCGTTGAAGTTCAGAAATTAAAATAGTTTTTTCGCAATATCTCAAGAACAATTGAATATAATGCATTCAAATTCGGTATATGGTTTCATCTTTCAATGGTTGGATTGGGTTGTGATAACTTTTCCTCCCATATTTTCTACGCCACTGATGAAATTTCCAATTTCTCGAATCGATCGTTCAATTATCTTGAAAAAATACATCACTTTCAACTGAGCTTAAATGAACAGTTATCGAGATATTTGACCCAAAACAGAAGTTTGCATAGTAATTTTTCATCTTCCTCAGAAGTAGAAAAGTACAAAAATTTTTGTTGTCTCTTTATGCGTGGAAAAACTATTTCTGTTCATCTACAGAATGATATCTGAATAGTATCTAATCTACTCAACACCAGAAAAATATTTTTGCAATTTTCTACTACTAAAAATGATGAAATGTTACTATGCAATCTTCTATTTTGGGTCGAATATCTCGAAAACTGTTCATTCGAGCTCAGTTGAAGGTGATGAATTTTTTGAAGAAAATTGAACAATGAATTTGCATAATTGGAAATAATTGAAATTTAATCAGTGGCGTAGAAAATATGGGAGGAAAAGTTGCCAGAATCCCCTGTAGGGCACCACTGGAAAAAATGTCCGGAATGGCTTCCTGGTCAAAAAATGACCCATTCAAAGATGAAACCATATACCGAAGTTGAATGCATTATATTTAATTTTTCTTGAGATATTGCGAAACAACAATTTTAATTTCCTAACTTTACGCCCTGTATCTCGAGAACTAAACACTTGAAGAACGTACGTATGTCCCTATCTCAGTGATTATGAAATCAATTGAGGACTAATAGATCGGTAAGTGAAATGTTAAAATTTTTGAGTTTGTTGATTTCTAATGATTCAAAATGATATACATGTAGCATGTAGAATTTCGAAATTCTCATCAAAACTATGATTTTCTTCTGATATACGGTTTGGGTATGTTGAATTTCTTTTCTTTTAAAAAAGATTCATCTCATATGTTCATGATTGCGCTGATTAAACGAACGACCTGTCTGACCGATATATACCTTAGGGCAAGATCCACAGTTGAGTTTGTATACTGATTTATCGAATTCTTTACGTGTTATTTGTTCTATATGCTACTTTTAAGCCTTGTTTATGTAGAAATGAAGCTAATTTTTCAGTTGATGATCCGAAATAGGTTGAAGTTCTATAATTTTGATCATTATTTTTGGTGGCGGGATACACTTCTTGAATAGCTCTATTTTCATTGTACCAGTATTTCAATTGACGAAGTTATACAGTGTTAGCGAAACATTTTGTGTGACTAAGAATTTTGTGAAAATCTCATAGTTTGTGAAGTTTTTACATTCGCTATGGATTTCTATTAAGTAACGGCCGAGTCAATTAAAAAAAAAAGTAAAAAGATTTGCAAGATTAGGGGACCGAACTTCAAATGGTTGTAGCGTCCTCAGGAAGCATTTTCTAAGACAAAACATGTCAATAGGAATTTTTTTTTTCATTTACAAGATCACCTCCCGGACTATACGAACGTTATTCTGATACTGATCTTATTGCATAATGAGGAAACAATCAATTTGCCTCACTATTATCATAATTAATCGAGTTTTTGTTTCTTATACAGGGTGAGTCATAAAACTATTGGGACATAGGCTAAGTGCGGATTGTTTGAACCAAATTATGGCGATAGTACCGAATAGCCATCAATAAAATATATTGCTGTGGATAAAGGTACAGGGCGTTGAAGTTGAACACTCTTGTTCGTTTTTTGCTAATAATATATTATTTTATGTATCATTCTACAGTTAGTTACAGAAGGCGCGAAAACTTTTGAGTGATTCTGGTTAGAAAATATGACATATATATATAATTTCTACGTAATATTGGTACTCTTGTTTAAAAACGATATTGAACAGTTCAAAGACTCGGAAGGGTATTTCAAATATCATTTCATTTATGAAAATAAGTGTGCTTTGCACTGTCAGATAATTGTTGCTGGTGAATTACATTCCTGATTTGTCAGTTGTCAGTGAATGAATTCTGGTGCGAGTTTATAGTCAATACTTTCTCGATTGAAATGCCCTGTATCTCTTTCCACAGCAATATTTTATTGAGAGATTTTTGGTCCAAATAATCCGCCCTCAGCCTATGTCTCAATAGTTATGACTCACCCTGTATAATTATAGTAAGTGTTCAATTGTCATGAGAATACGGAAATTTCATTCAGGAAATGAATTGACACACCTACCTGATGAACAAAATAAAAAGGTTACCTACGTGAGAATACCAAATATACAACCTTGAACTCATATATGAATAAACTGCTATCATCATCATCTTGCCTCAGGCTTCTTGATTCAAGAACAGTCTTGAAATTGCTCTTGCCCAATCACCTTGCAGCTTCAATCTCCTCGAATACAAATAATAGGTAAATGAAAATGATTATACTCATCACTTGATTTGTCAAAAAAAAACATGTTATTCAACAATTTTATGCAACAGGATACAGTGATATTTATGGTATTTGCTAGTTCTTCACAATCATTATAATATCATGATTAAATTTCGTTGATGATGTCTGTACTAAGCTATCAAACAGGTTCTCTGAAATAATCTCAACAACACTCCGGAGACTGTAGTACCACAACTGATTCCAACGAAAATGCAGTGATAAATCGAAGAGGTGTGAAGATGGCATCCACAACGGAACTAGTTACCGATTCAGTACCTGACTTGACGAAAAAAGCTCAGACGTTCGGAGAACTCGACTTCAACGGAAAAATATCGTACATCCGCGAGGTGATAACCGTAGAGCCCCTACTAGGGGCTTATGTCATGGCCTCCACTCTGTGCTCACCGATGCTGATCAACTTGGAGTTCGAGAAGTCTTGCCGAGTGAACTTGCAGATGAACGATACGGTCTGTGAGGCTATTTTGAGCAGCCAACACGAAGTTCTCAACTTAACAGAGCAAAACAACGAGGTGCAATACTTGATAAGCGATGTGCACTCCTGGTTGCAACCTGTGCAAAGCATCATGCCGCTGATCCTAGTTTTGTTCATAGGATCCTACAGCGATAGGCACAAGTGGCGCAAGCCCTTTCTACTGTTGCCCCTATTCGGGGAATTTTTAGCAGTGGTAGGATGCATTTTTTGTGTTATTTTTATGCGGTCTTGGCCCCTTGAAGTACAGGGAGTGTTCCAGCTGATCTTGCCTTCACTGTTTGGGGGACAAACTATGATTGTCATGGCGACATTTTCCTACATAGCCGATGTCAGTACGATAGAAATGAGGACGCTGAGGATAGGGGTCGTACAAATAGTACTCAACATCATTGTTCCTGTTACGCAGCTGTTCAGTGCGAATATGTTCGAGCTAACAGGGTACTATGGGGTGCTTTTCACTGCGGGAGGTTTGTACGTGTTCGGGTTCCTCTATGGGCTTTTTTGGATCAAGGAACCAAAACAGCCTGTGAACACAGAGAGCAGAGGTGTTTTATGCGATGTTTTTGATCCGAGACATGCTGTGGATACGTTCAATCTGATACTGAGGAAGGGCCCTGGGAAAAATAGGGTTTATATTGGTGTGATGCTTTTCACGATTTTTATATACAGTGCAGTGATAGTGGGTGAATCGGACAGGTTCTTTTTTTACTCGCAAAGCAGGTTCGGTTGGACGATAGTGGAGTTCAGCTATTTTCTTTCCATGAATACTTTGGTCCACCTTATTGGTAAGTACGTTTTGTAAGTAGCTCTTTATAGATTCGGACTTCTACATCGAAAATATGTGCAGTTCAAACTAGTTTTCCTTATATAAAAATAGAATAATGGTTATTAGAATGAAACAAATTATGCAATGAAATGGGTCAAGAGCTCTATTGAGAAAAATCACTCCTGAATCGGGATTTGACACTTCAAAATTGAAAATAAAAATATATTCATGGAAATGCGAAATACATCGCAGTACCTAACATACAGGGTGGGTCACGGTAGATGGCACCTTAGACGTTTACGGAGAACGGGACATAAGATCATTCTGAAAATTTGGTTACTCAAGTAATTGCTCTTGATCTATCAATCTAAAATATTTTCAGCTCTGCGGCGTTGCCGCTTCTATCGAAAAGTAGCAACAACTTTGTTATTTTAAATGGAACACCCTGTATTTTATTGCATCTTCAGATTCTCTCTGAAGAGCTGATTTCATCGATATATCACACTTGGGGTCTAGCGGAAATGATTACAGAGATATAGGGTGTGAAAAATCGACATTTTTCAACTTCGGGAGAAATCCCTGAAAATATGCATGCTCATATTTTAGAATACGTTCTCTTCATTCAGAATATTTTCAGCAATGCATTGTTGCCGCTTCTATCAAAATGGAGCAACAACTTTATTGTTATTCCAAATAGAATACCCTGTATTTTTATTCTCCCTGAAGAGCTGATTTCATCGATGCATTACACTTGGGGTCTAGCGGAAATGATTACAGAGATATAGGGTGTGAAAAATCGACATTTTTCAACTTAAGGATTTTTTTTTGTCGAAACTATTCATTATTGGTCAAAACGGCTTACATGTCCCTATCTCAACTTTTGATTAACTATCTACTGATATTTAATTGGGACATATACCGGGTGATCAAGAATCTGAATTCTGCACCACCCTGTATTTGTTTCAATTAAATGTCAGTAGATAGTTGATCGAAAGTTGGGATAGGGACATGTGAGCCGTTTTGACCAATAATGAATAGTTTCGACAAAAAAAATTCCTAAAGTTGAAAAATGTCGATTTTTCACACCCTATATCTCTGTAATCATTTCCGCTAGACCCCAAGTGTGATACATCGATGAAATCAGCTCTTCAGAGAGAATCTGAAAATGCGATAAAATACAGGGTGTTCCATTTAAAATAACAAAGTTGTTGCTACTTTTCGATAGAAGCGGCAACGCCGCAGAGCTGAAAATATTTTAGATCGATAGATCAAGAGCAATTACTTGAGTAACCAAATTTTCAGAATGATCTTATGTCCCGTTCTCCGTAAACGTCTAAGGTGCCATCGACCGTGACCCACCCTGTATATCCTTTTTGAGACTCATGAACTTTGTGAATTGTGAATGCGCATCTGCGAATTTAAATGGGGTCAATATTTCGAATTGACTTTTTTTTCACAAATAGGACAGCAAAAAGTTAGTCAGGAAATATAAACAATTATAACTCCTAATTTCCCTGAACTAATTTGAAATTTCTTATTCTCAAACCGATAATATGATAGGTCTCGATTTCGAGAAGAAATTAAGGTACTAAAAAGGAAGGTCAATCGAATCTCATTATTCCTCTAATACTTGATGTTTATAGTTTGTGATATTTATATACAGTAGGTAACGTATGGATAATCCGAACAGAAAGTTCGGTTTACCAAAATTTCCGGATTAATGAACGATATCAATCGAGATATCAATATCCGTGAATGAACAACACACTGCAACTGACGTAAAATCACAGCCTTTTCCAAGGGTTAATGTGATATGCACTCGTTTAGAGGCCATTTTTTATTCATTTATTCATTTAATAGGAGTGATCACAAAAACAAGATGATATACACAGTGGGTACAAACTACTGAAATCGACAATATTGAATCATGACACAATTCAGTTCAGGCTTCATACATCTGTTTAGAATAAATCAAGGGGTGTATATAATTCGCGGACTGGAATAATATGCTGTGGACTGGAATAAAATCTTGCGGACTGGTTATTTTTGCAAGTCAAATCGTCTCCATTTTATCAAACATTGATTCATCTAATGAAAATACACGATGAAAAGTTTTTACAACTTTTTTCTAGCCCCCTTGGGGAGCACTTTACTCGTGTGTTTTTTCATGAAATCTTGCGGACTGGGAAGTTTTGCGAATGAAATCATCTCAATTCTCTCAAAATTCAATTTATCTCGTGAAACTATACATGATGGAAAGTTTTTGAAATTTTGCTCTAGCCCCCTGAGGAGCACTTTACTGCGAGTGTTTTTTCATAAAATCTTGCGGACTGGTTATTTTTGTAAGAAAATTGAGATGAATCGACTCGCGAAAATACCCAGTCAAGATTTTATGAAAAAAACACACGAGTAAAGTATTCTCTTCTGATTTTTGAGAAAATTCAGATGATTTATTTGACTGGCAGAAATACCCAGTCGGCAAGATTTTATGAAAAAAACACGATTAAGGTACTTTCCAGGGAGGCTAGAAAAACGTTTAAAATTTTTTCATCGTGTATTTTCATGGGATAAATTGATTTTTGGAGAAGTTGAGATGATTTGACTTGCAAAAATACCCAAACCGCAAGATTTCATGAAAAAACACACTAGTAATTAAAGTGCTACCCAGGGGGATAGAGAAAAATTTCAAAAACTTTTCATCATGTATTTTCATGAGATAAATCGATTTTTGGGAAAATTGAGATGATTTGACTTGCAAAAATACCCATCAGTCCGCAAGATTTTATAAAACACACACGAGTAAATTGCTGCCCAGGGGCAGTGAAAAAAATCAGAACTTTTCTTTTTTATCGTGAAATTCGATGAACTGAATCCAGATATGCAATAAAAACAACGATTTATTGCTAGAAATAGCCAGTCCGCAGCATTTTATTTCAGTCTGCACATTCCCTAAATCTAGCTAGTCACTGAATTTGTTGCATGTATTAGTCGACATTCTATATATTGGTAAATTCAGTAATACCGTTGATTGATATATTACGCTTACGCTGAAGCGCAATATATCAATCAACGGTAATACATTAGGTCGGAGGCTTGGCAGATAGAAGAAAGCTGTACAGTTTCTAATCAGAAAACGATCGGTCGAAAGATACGGCAGTGAAGGGCTTCGATAAGGGGAAAGTCATAGGGGAATTACAAACATTTTTGTAGTGTGAATTCTGAAAATTAAATAATTCCATATTATTACCCACAAAATATTACGAAACAATCGTTTATCAGATCACTTTTAATTTTTGATGATGTTCCGTATTTGAGTAAGATTCAAACTCTGTCAGTTTTTTTTCATTGCTTGGAGCGCAAATTATCTCATAACAAAAATATTCATAATAAACAGTTATAAATTGTTAGGACATTTTGATATTTTCGAATAGAAGTTTTATTCCGAACATTCTCAATTTTAGGTACTGCACTAGCGGTTCCCCTTTTCACAAAAATCCTCAATTTGACTGACATGGCCATACTGCTTCTCACCTTCTTGGACAAAATGCTCAGCAACGTCGTCTTCGGTTTTGCCAACAGCAACACGCTCCTCTACGCAGGTAAATCACTCCTCATTTTTTCCTCTCCTCTTATTCTTCCTCCAATTATTATTTTCTTCAGCTGCTGTTGTCAGTATAATAACGGGTGTGACGCCCATTGGAATTCGATCCCTCGCTACAAAGGTGGTATCAGAAGACGATCTAGGCAAGGCTCAGTCTCTGTTCGGCATTTGCGAAGCTATTGCCCCAGCGATATCGACACCTGTTTACAACAAGGGAATCTACAATAACACTTTGACTACGTTTCCATCAGCGTTTTTCTTTTTCGGTATCATCCTTTACGCAATTTGCAGTGCATTTATAACGTAAGTAATAATAAGTAACTATCTACCTCTGGTAATAACACGCGATAAACAGGGTGTCCCAGAATATGTGGGCAATCTCTCGGATTCAGATAGAGTAGGGGAGGTCCGCCAACAGTGTCTATAGCAAAAACTGGCCACTCTCTAGTATTATCAGACTATGATTAATACTTGTCGTTCGCGCCATCTCGTATAGAGCTTTTTTTATGTTCTGGTTCCCACGAAAAGGGATATCCTGTAATGTTCAGAGAACATCGTGAGAACCAAGGGAAATAAGGTAGGAATTGGTGTTTTTCTTAAATTTCTGGAGGTTATATACCTCCCTTGGCAATGTGTTCCAGAGACTCGCTGTTCGTTGGATGAACGAGTCTTTGGAAAGAGATGTTTTGCAGGTCTCCAAAGTGACCACGAAGGGGTGCGATGCCTCAACTCGACGGGTTAATATCGCGGGGACTGCCAAGGGAGGAACAATTGTTGATATTTCAGAAAAGCATCGTCCATGAGAATATCTTTAAAAAAGAGCCAGATCGCCAACTTTTCTACGGTGTTCCAGAGAAGTGAATGAGTTTGTGAGCGAGGCATCACCCACGAGACGAATTGCCCTTTTTTGGATAGAATCCAACAGTTCCAGGGTACGTTTGGGTGCTGCACTCCAACTATGGGAACAGTATTTCAGGACAGGTCGGATCTGTGCCTTATAGATCATAAGCAGCTGACTAGAAGTGAAATAGCTCCTGGCCCGAAACAGAAAACAAAGTTTTTGGGATGCACATTTAGCAATTGATCTCACGTGATTTTCCCAAGAAAGGGTATTGCTGATAGTCATACCAAGCATCGAAATAAATGTCTTCAAAGGTATGTTTACTCCTGAAAAGCTTATGTTGGGCACAGTGAGATCGGCTTTTCTAGAGAAAAAGCATGCTTGTGTTTTGTTTGCATTGAAATCTAACAAGTTATTGGATCCCCATTGGAATACGAGTAATAACGACATATTTGATCATTTTTTTTTGTTGATTTTTGATCGGTACAAGTTACACCTATATCGGTACATTTCCCATTGAATAACATCTTCATAGGTAAGATTACTGATGTTAATTCCTATATTTATCAATAAACTATTTGAACTATATTATGAGGTAAAAGATGTGAATAATCACAAACTATTGCTTTAGAGGTTAGATCGAAATGGTTCAAATTGAATTTATTGGTATAGTGGTCTACATCCGATTGGGAACAGTGGCCTTATATTCAATTTTTTATTGCATAAAGTGATCATGCCTCGACCAATACCAAAAAATCCTGGTTCAATTGGAAATGTTCCTTCAGAAACTATGAATATGCACTTTATATTGTAGTATAAGAGAACATAAACTTTCTATGAAAAAAGCTCCAAGACGATACAACACTTCTAAAACTACTCTCAGAAGATATGTAACGAAATTTCAAGAATTTGATGATATAGGATTAATTCAGAATTAATTCTAAATTATGCAGTACACCGTATATTCTCAACTGTAGAAGCACGAAAGCCCTGTAATATGCGCAAAATTGCATCATGGACTAACACCTATAAGAATATCCGAAAATTTGCCTTTTCATCAGCAGTGGCAAACAACAATAAGGGTATTCAGCAGTCCTGAGATATTCGCATCAACAAAGTGTGTATTGACGGTATGGCCATTGTACCATTCGGTTCTGGCCACTGTACCACACTAATTTTCCGAAACCCGTCCAACTGGACATTTTTTTCTTCATAAACATTGATGAAACCGCTTTTCCAAATCTATATTGATACAATGGGCTTATATCACAAAAAAAATGTATTTCATGATTCGATAGAACTCACCCAAACTAGCTCACCACCGCAAACCGTTTCTTGCTGTGAGCTCCCTACGTTTTATAAAAAAATATTGAAATCCCCGATTTTTCGGACCTCTGAAAACGATGCGATGATGTGACGTCAAAACCCTAATACTGAAACAAGACTATTCATGACAGAGATGAATGATACATGATTTCTGACAGAGTGAATGAGCGCGAGATCACAGTTGAAAGAATTAATATATCAGTTGCCTCAGTCTCCGTCGGGCGTTTGGTATTTTCTTTTATCTATGGCGAGATGAGGTTTCTACGTCATAAGAGGGTCCGTTTTCAGAAGGAACTATTATTTATGTCCAAAAATAAAACATTCCAGTTAATTTTTCTATCGAATAATGTCGTCAATCATTATTCATGTATAAAAGGATCATTATAAACATGGTTTGAGTTGAAAGTTCTACTAAGGTGTACACGCCCATTCCAACAATGGAAAGATTTATGATTTCGAAGATTTCCTAATGTATAAAAAAGGGTGGCCACTGTTGGCGGACCTCCCCTACCCATACTATAGGGTACCTACATAAAAATAACACAATTTTTCTCCTACGAATCCCCTTCGTCTAAAGATATATGCATCTGTTATTTCATGCCGTGATCTAAAAACTTTTTGTTTTTAGGTGGATGTACTTCAAAGAAAAACCAAATCGTACGTCAAAAGTCGAACTTGCAAATAATGGTTCTGGAGTTACTATCGAAAAGACCCCAATGGAGACTTATGTTGAAACAACACACATATAATTATTGAGTTTTCATTAGAAATACAAAATATAAATAAGAGAGAATATATGTTGTAAATACCATGTTACACATTATAAAATAACACCCCATATACAGTGTGACCCATTTAAGATGGAAGCACCCTTATAAAACTTACATTTTTCAACCGATTGGAATGTTTTTTTTTATGTTAGGTAGATATTCAAAAAGTCTATTAGGACACCAAATATCATGAATAAATCTCCATTTCCAGGGCCAACTAATCTGATTTTTCAAGGTCAAAAATCTAAAAAAATTACTAGCGATTTTTTTAGAAAAAATCTGACTACACCACTGGATTTGTGACATTTTCAAATGGGTAACATGTAAATTACGTTGAAATGCGTCAATCAATAAAAAAGTTATAAAGGAATGAAATTTGAAAAATATGCCGTTTAATCAACCCACCAATTCACGTTCAGGAATTTTATGAAAATTCTGTATACTCCACTGGATTCAGGATGTCTTGAAATATTACTGATCACAGTTTCATCGAAATCTGTTCAGTAATAAAAATTGATGGGTTGATTAAACGGCATATTTTTCAAATTTCATTCCTTTATAACTTTTTTATTGATTGACGCATTTCAACATAATTTACATGTTACCCATTTGAAAATGTCACAAATCCAGTGGTGTAGTCAGATTTTTTCTAAAAAAATCGCTAGTAATTTTTTTAGATTTTTGACCTTGAAAAATCAGATTAGTTGGCCCTGGAAATGGAGATTTATTCATGATATTTGGTGTCCTAATAGACTTTTTGAATATCTACCTAACAAATAAAAAAATCATTCCAATCGGTTAAAAAATGTAAGTTTTATAAGGGTGCTTCCATCTTAAACGGGTCACACTGTATATTTTATTTTTGTAGTACCAAAAATCAGAGAATTATAGTGGGATTGTATAACGTTTCACCCGGTACCGATCTACTAATTAATTTATGAACATGCGTCTTTTGACAGTTGAAATAGAATTGGAATATAATGAATATTGAATTGCAGTTTTTCGTGCTTTGTTGATACTGTGAAATTAGATAAGATTTGCTTTGTTTTTGTTATTTTCTTGGAATAATAATACACTTAAACAAATGTGATTCTTGAACGCACCTTCAAATTTGGGCAATATTCTGAGAAAAACATTTGGTGAATCCAATTCGATTTGTGATTTGAGCTAAGCTATACCTACTGTCTGATCAGACACCTACTATCATACTAGTCATACCACATACTTTCATACCTATATTCCTTATTCCTTGAATTCAAGGCTGATACCTTCTACTTTCAATTTATACTGCTTACTGATAATATTATATACTGGTAATTAATCATTAAGTTATCTGAGAATGAAGGTGATTTTCGAATAAATAATATAGTTATGGCATTGTTATGAAGATATTATAACATACATGTATTCATTATCGACGATGGAAAACCCAAGAATTCGATGAACAAAGGAAATTTTGAGTTCCAAGATAAATTCAGGTAGCAGCAGCAGTATTCAAGGAAAAGATGATAAAAATAAGGCAAATCTTCCGATAGTGTTTTGTTTCAACTTGAACCTCCACCAGAGTGCGATGGTTGTGACAACATAGTTTTTTCTTTGTGGAGTTGTGATAATATTTCAGGTTTCTTGATATTCGAGTAATTCCCAATTAATTCGATGATTTATAATACCCATTGATTTCCACAAAAGTTACCACGATTGAAAGTGGAACACCTTGTATATTGAAGGGAAACCAGTAGTCAATACATCTCCGAACCCAAAAATATCTCAAAATATAAGCCATCTAGATCAATGAGAGCTAAACCATATGTAAGTATCTTTTTTGATTATTTGTTCATTTCCATTATCTTTAATTGACACTATTAATAAGCTAAATAAAGTTCATAGTTCGTATATACATTTCTTCTGATTGATTCAGTTCAAAATAGTGATCAATAACATTTAGGTATCGATACAGAATTGAAGTTTAACGCAAAATTACCTACGCACGGTAGACATCAAATATGTGAATCTTGCAATTTTCAATCACATGAAAAAAGTCGAACGCTCAAGAATATCAATTATTATTTACCCACCATTAATGGGTGGACTTCAAATCACGAACATAATATTGTTTGGGTCTCAGATTAATGCGATATTCTGTAATTAGGTAAGTGGAAGTTGTTATAAGAATCATGAATCATAATAAATTTGAAATTCCAAACGATGAACATATGTTTCCTTTTGAAAGAATTATTGTATGTGAAGCAAATTAAAGAATCCCAATGGGCGTTATAGGATCTAGTACCGCTTGTGGTTCATACAAGATTTTATTTTTCACGAAAAAATCGTCTTATCATAATGTAAAATCGATTTTAAAAAGCGGTTCATTTTGCTTCTAACATTTTCTTCTCATGGTAGGCATGGCATTTGTTGATATTTTGACGTTTGTTGAATATTGCTGTCATCATTCAATTTAGTGAATGTCATTGCTACTCTATTTATTAATTTATTGAAAATGTAACTTCCAGTCAGAATCAAGTTCTGGTATAAGGAAGTATAGTTAACAATAAAACCCAAAACTATACAATTATACTAAACTCATAAATAATATAATATTTGAATACATTGAGTATTCAATTTTGACAAATCATTTCATATATTGGTGAGCAACAATCAATTTGAATATGAATCTAAAGTTGAGAAAAAATCATCTATTTCATTCAGAAATGATGAATTTTCCAAGTTTGTATTTGAATTTTTTTGTATTTCTGCAATTTTTTATATTATGGTGAGCATATTCTACATGCATTTACATATGCATGTTCGAATTGTAGTTTCAATATAAATACAACCACAGAGTGACCCATTTGTATATTCTATTGATTCGATGAATTCATTTGGAGCAGGTGTCTGCCCTAATATCAAATACCGCGTCAGTGCCAGGTATAGGAAAAAGAAGTGGAAAATGTTAGGTTAGTGAGCATATCAACAATAATAATAGCGATTATTGATTTCATGCCATATTCCACTATGTTTGGCTCGGTAATCAAAATAAGATAAACAATATAGTGTGAGACAAAAAAGTATTGCTGGCCGAGATTATTCAAAACCAAGTTATCCAATCAATCAGATCCCAAGAATGAATGAAATACAGATCAAGCAAGTATGTGAATCTTGATTGCTTTCCTGATCAAAACAAAAATCTCCAGCATGGGTAAATATAAATTGTAGCGATATATGGATATATATGCAGCCATAATGTTCAGAGATTCATTCTTGATGCTCTGAAATTAATTGATATATATGGGTATGTGGAGTATTTTTAAATAAATATGTGTCCATCACAGTCGTTTGTAATTATTTAAATCCCTTTAGATATGGAATATGATATATCGAAATAAAAATAAGTGGAAATACAAATTCGACAGCTGATGTGTTTTATGGAATTACGTGTTTTGTATATTTATTATCTTCAACAAATTCGCTACCGAATTAAACAATTCCATATCGTGAAAAGTGAATGTTGGTTTTCCTCATTATCATGAGTTTTCTCTGGGCCTCATTGGCAACTTCTTTAGAATGTTTTCCAAAAGTGAAGTCATGAGTGACGGTCCTTGATCTCTTTAAACTGCTCCAAAACAAATCCGTTCATGTGATAAGCATTCAAAGTAGGTAATATTTTATTATTACCATGTTTTTATTAACTCGCTTTCTTGAGTTTGTCGGCACATGCATAAAGTGTAGGTATATCGGGTGACACAGAATCATAGTATTTCCCGTTTTTCTCCTTTGTTTTTTTAGCTATATTTCTGTGATTTGGAATATCGAGTATACATATACAGGAAAGCACTTTTTCACATTTTAGGATTGTTTTTCTCTTTCCGGTTTTTTCTGGAAATGACATCAACTTTTGGTTTTCAAATGGGACACCCTGTATATTTTTTTTCATAATCGGTTAGGGATCGTTTGAAATAACCCAATCAAATCCGCTATCGTTGAATTCGTTATAATAATCACTAACCGATAATGGAAAAAAAAGGGATGTCCTATTTGAAAATCTGAAGTTCCTAAAATGTGAGAAAGTACCCTCTAGTGAGCATATTCGATGTTCAAAATTTCAGGAATATAGCTAGGAAAACACAGAAGAAAAGGGGGTATACCATGATTATGTGTCAACCAGTAGACAGTCTACATCAATAAATAGTTATTTTTCTGTGACGGGAAAAAAGTTTGGCATTTCATCTCTGTTGGCAGGTTATAAAATGTCACTTTTCATAAATTACTTTTTTCCCGTGGGAAAAAAGTGAGTACTTTTTTCCCGGATATATATCACATATATATACTCTGTTAATGGCTTTTGTTGTGCTATAGTTCCGAAAAATGAGTCAATAATACCGTTTCCGAGAAAGAACTGCAAGTCCTTTTATCTTCCATTCGACTTCGCAGTTTCGTATATTACTGAACAACTACTGAATTCGCAATATTTTAAAATCAAATCACAGAATTGAACTGACAGAAGTGACATCAGATATTTGATTACTTCAAAAGAATGATGAAGATGCCTATAAAACGCAGGTGTCCCTACTGTTAGAAACTTGAAATTTCACGTCGATAATTTTCAGATTTCGAAATAATGTAATATCTTCTCAATATTGATTCGTCCTTCCTTCTGTCACAGAAAAAAATAGTGTATTATACACGGGAAAAATATTAGATTTTAGCTCACGGTTTTTTGTCTCCCTCCGCTACGCGTCGGGAGACAACACAACCTGGAGCTAAAATCTACAACTTTTTTCCCTTGTATAATAAATAACTATTTATTATACATGGTAAAAAAGTAGTAGATTTTAGCTCCAGGTTGGTGTTGTAGCGTAGGGAGACAAAAAACCGTGAGCTAAAATCTAATATTTTTCCCGTGTATAATACACTATTTTCCCTGTGACAGAAGAAAGGACGAATCAATATTGAGAAGATATTACATTATTTTGAAATCTGAAAATTATCGATGTTTCAAGTTTTCAACAGTAGGGACGCCTGCGTTGTAGGCATCTTTATCATTCTTTTGAAGTAATCAAATATCTGATGTCACTTCTGTCAGTCTAATTCAGTGATTTGATTTCAAAAAATTGCGAATTTAGTGGTTGTTTAGTAACCGCGAAGTGGAATGGAAGATAAAAGGACTTGCAGTTCTTTCTCGGAGACGGTATTATTGACTCATTTTTCGGAACTATAGCACAACAAAAGCTATCAACACTATATTTGCCACTGGAAAAAAGTAATTTATGAAAAGTGGCATTTTTTAACCTTCCAACAGAGATGAAATGCCAAACTTTTTCCCCGTCACAGAAAGAAGAATAGTAATTTTCCTAACAAGTGCGGAAAGTGATTCTTTCCCGCACGTGACTGCCGTTGACACGAACGACGCGAAGCGGAGTTCGGGCAAGCAGTCGAGTGCGGGAAAGAAACTTTCCGCATGAGTTAGGAACAATATTTTTTCTACAAGCGTAGGAAATTGATTGAATCGTTCAATTAATTATTCAAGCAAATAGGAACAACTAACAAGAGATATATATTCTCTATTATTAGTAATAGCTATTGTGAACTTACAGTTTGACGCATTATGTTGGTTCATTGCGGAAGCCAGCAGGCCCATTAGGAGTTTGGTCTCTAGGTTCCAGACACTTCTATGAAATGAGCCAAAAATACCTATATTCTTCATTCGGTTTTTTCATTTTTTATTGTTACACCATTCAATAAAACGCGTGTATAGCTTCTCATACCTTTCTTAAGGCTTCGTTGGTGATAACGCATCTGTATCAAATCCCTATAGCTAGAAGTTTTCGATCACATTGTGGCATTTCCACTGAATCGAAAATGACAGTAACGCTGTGTCTGTCACTTCGACAATTTCAAACTTATTTGAGGTTTGATTGGCATGACAAATTGACGTTTCCCGTCAGATCAATCCAAATCTATAGGGGGATTTTTATAATAATCAATTTTTATTTCTCAATATTTCTTAATTTTTACAATAAATAGTGCAATTTGATGGATGATTCTGAACATACATACTTAATACTGCAACAAACAAACCTAAACTTTTATATTCCATCACCAACCACTTATATTACTAGCGATTTTATCATATCTTTGTTTTCCCGCACTGTTGCGGGAAAATGACACTTCCCAAACTAAATTGCGTGCGGGTATAGGGTGAATCACGCACGCTTGTAGAAAAAAGGACTTGCAGTTCTTTCTCGGAGACGGTATTATTGACTCATTTTTCGGAACTATAGCACAACAAAAGCTATCAACAGTGTATATATACAGTATGATGCAAATGTATGGAATAAATTCATTATTTCAGAAATGGGCGACATTTGAAAAAATTCCAAAAACACGTGAGTTTTAATTTATGAAGTCTCATCTCATGATATTCATATGAGAGATGTTACGTCACCGGTGTTGAAGTAAAGACGTAATGGACGATTTTTTCAAATACAAATAGGGGTCATGTGACACCTTGATTGAAAGGTCTACCGATCGTCTATTCAACAGTAAAAATGTTGCATAAGAAGATTGAAATTAAAATGGATTATCATGTGATTAATTGAATCTTGCAGAGGTCTGCTACTGAGAATTGATCATCGAAGGGTCGTCTAGTTAAAAAAATACGTCGAAAAAAAAGTTCTGAACTCTAGTTTTTGTATTTTTTTCGAAAGTCGTCTTGTTTTGAAATGAATTTATTCCATACATTTGCATCATACTGTATATATGTGATATATATCCGGGAAAAAAGTACTCACTTTTTTCCCACGGGAAAACAGTAATCTATGAAAAGTGGCATTTCCAACAGAGATGAAATGCCAAACTTTTTCCCCGTCACAGAAAAAAGAAATTAATTATACATTATCTGCGACTTATGTTCTTCGATTCCACTCTTACAAGTATTTCAATAATTTAGAAAAAGTGAAAAATCTGTATATGGTCTTATCCTTCATAGAAATTAGAAAAAATATTTTATACTTTTTAGCCTCCTATAAAAACACATTTATTTCTGTTTTATTATTTCCATTGAAGATAACAGATTTGCATTTTCCTTTAAATTGGTGTGAAAACAATGTTGTTTTCAAAAAATTCAACAGTTCACTTATCATATCATAAAACTATAGAAAGTGAATTTCAATTTCAGAACAGTAGGAAACGAGAATGCAAGGGTCCGAAACCCCGACGAAAAACAATGAACTAAACGCCCGAACAGCATCCCTAAAAGAAAAAATAATAAATGGGACGAAACTAGTGACAGTAGAGCCCCTGATAGCCTTCTACCAGATGGCCCTAACCCTAACGAAACCAGCTCTGGACAACCTAGAATTCGAAAAGTCCTGCAGAGGGAACCTCAACTTCACCGACACAATATGCGACAGCATCCTCAAAGGCCATCACAACAACTACACCAATGAAAACAACGAAATTCAAGTGCTAATCAGCAACATGCACTCCTGGCAGCAACCGCTACAAAGCTTCGCCCCGCTCCTGCTCATCCTATTCCTAGGCTCGTACAGCGACAGACAGAAATGCAGGAAACCGTTTTTCATCATTCCCATCGTCGGAGAACTCTTAGGGACAGTTGGCTGCATGCTTTGCGCGTTGAACATGAAGGCTTGGCCCCTGGAGCTGCAAGGCTTCTTCCAAAAAGTCGTTCCTTCTCTTTTCGGCGGTCAAGCCATGATGGTGATGGCAACAACTGCTTACATTGCAGATATCAGCTCCACTAAAACCAGGACCTTTCGTTTAGGCATCGTGCAGATTGTCATAAGTGCAACAGTGCCCCTGGTCAATTCCTTTTGCGGGATTCTCTTCCTGGAAATAGGTTATGTGGGTGTTTTGAGCGTGTCGACTGCCATGCTGGTGTCGGCCTTAGTGTACGGGACGTTTTGGATCGAGGAGAAGGTTTCGAAAAAGGCAGTGAGAGTATGTGAGCTAAGTAATGTTTTTGACCACCGTCATGCCTTCGATACTTTCAGGATTATGTTCAAGGGGGCCGCAGGAGTTTGTCAGGCGCGACTGGTAGTGCTCGTTTTGGTGATTTTCACACATCGGTGCGCTTTTGAGGGTAAATTTTGGTTATATTTTAATTATTATTATTATTATTACATGGGAAGGGCAGCAAATTTCACATGAAAATAACAATTGGGAAGCAAAAACTGAATGAAAAGTACAAAATTCATCACTAGTAAAATAACAAGATTGACGTATGAAGCAAGATTTCGGACATATTTACAGGAGAGCTCGACACATATGAGCCGAGTTACACGCACTTGAATAACACGCACTAAACCCGGAGTACATTTTAAGTCGAATAGCTATTGTTGTAATCGTCGAGTCGGTTCTTGAAGGCATTTATAGATGGAGCCGTAACTATAGCGCCGGTTAGAGAGTTCCACTCGTAGAAAAGTCTATTAGTGAAAAGATGCTGTCTAGGAGAGGTCCTGAATTTTTCCTTAGGAAAAATACTGATTGCAAATGTTTCTTTCCCAAATGCCGAATCTTTGAGAAAGAAACACTTGCAATCAGTAGTTGATAATGCTCAATTATTTGAACATTTTGTGGAAATGACTCTGGGTTTCTCACTCTGTTAACCAATTATACCACTTTGAAAATGTTGGCATTTTTTTTGGTGAATTATTTCAATAGTGTAGTCATAAAATGTATCATCAAAATTGAGTCATTGTTAATATAAATAATCAAGACATCATCTTGAAGATGAATTTTATTTATAGAAGTATTGATTCACAATGTCTGTACAACAATCACAGTAAAATACTTTGTTTCTGATCATTCAAGTTATTCCTGTATGAAAACATAAAAATACAGGTATCATGATTATATAAAACATGGAACAGATACACAGTCCTGATTTCTGATATTCTGAATGTGAGCATAAAAAAATTGATATTTCATTTTAGGGGAATCCAATGTTTTGTATCTCTATGTCCAAAACGTATTTCAGTGGACGCCAGTTGACTTCAGCTTTTTTTTAACAGTTAATGGGATAGTTCTACTGATAGGTAAGCCTAAAAATTTGAAAACATCATGAATTAACTATGAATGTTATTATTTCAGGAAACATTTTGGGTCTACCACTTTTCACCCGTATTTTCAGAATGAGTGACCCTATGATACTGTTAGTTTGTGTCGTGACGAAAATATTGACAAATGTGATATTTGGATTAGCAAAGAATCCAATACTATTCTATGTAGGTAAGGAATATTATTTGTATTCTTGTACTTTTTCTGATCTGATCTGTTTTATCAAATGATAATGCTCATCTTTATTAATCCCAATGATTATAATAGGGAAATAAACTCTCAAGGTATTTCCTACCCCAATTTATCCCCAACAAAGCAAAGATGTTTCATCAATAATATGAGTTATAAATTTTGAGATTTGTAGCCTCTGCTGGAGATATAGTGTTGTACTTTTCAGTTGATTTCAAATTAACAGTACCTAAGGTGACATATGGAGCCAAGTACCATAGCCTATACAGGGTGTTTCATAATTGAATGCTGATCCTAAAGGGCGATAATCCTTGGATGATTTTAAGAAAAATTCTTCATGTGAACATAGGTCCGTAACAGCTTCGTTTCTGAGATACAGGATGTTGAAATTTAACAAAAAAATCAGTTATTCCGCAATATCTCTGAAATCGCTCTGGCATTTCTCTTCAATTTTGGTACATGCCAAGTATGAATAGAAATACATTTTTTCCATAATAAAGGATTTCTTAATTTCTATCAGTGGCGTCCCTGTTAACATACCCTGTCATATTTTTCATTAAACGCCACTGTCTTTTTTCCAAATAAATATTATTTTTGTAATTATCCTCTATCTTCTCATAAAAATGGTCTCCTGTCTTTTTTTCGTCCGGCGAACGGTTTTTGAGTTAGAAAATAAAATACATTCATTTGCTTGTCCCTATTCGATTTTTACTCCTAGTCATAATTTCACAATTGTGGTAACCAAAAGAGCTAAGCAATATTTTTATGATTTTATGGTAACTATTTTCAAGTTTTTGTAATGAAGAAAAAAGCCCGAGCGGTTTCAGAGATATTGGGGAATAACTGATTTTTTTGTTAAATTTCAACATCCTGTATCTCAGAAACAAAGCCGTTACGGACCTATGCTTACATGAAGAATTTTTCCTAAAATCATCCAAGGATTATCGCCCTTTAGGATCAGAATTCAATTATGAAACACCCTGTATACAACACAAATGGGCTTAAGGACACAAACACTTCAACAAAATACATCAATCAATCTACAATTTTTCATTAAATTAATTATTGTCATTTGAGATTAATTTTAAACATAATCTCAATACTTATATCAAAACTGGTGGAGTCCTTATTTGTTCAATTCATCCTATTTTCTGAGAATACAGGATTTGGTTTCCTAAATTTATACTAGCATTATTCAATTCTCTGATTTTATTGGGAATACAATTTTAATACCCCTTGTTTTTGAAATTGTTTCTACAATAAACTCATATGTACAGGGTGATTCACCATAAATGTCCCCCCCTCTAGCTCACTCATTTTTGAACCGATTTGAAAATTTGAGAAATAGTCTGAAATGATTTTTCAGATTTTTTTCCCCGTGGCATCAGAAAATACAGGGTGCTCGTAACAAACGATCTACAGAGTACTACTTGATTTTTTCAAATGGAACACCCTGTATTTCATTGAATTTTCAGATTCTTCCTGAAGAGCTGATTTCATCAATACATCACACTTGGGGTCAAGCGGGAATGATTAAAGAGATATAGGGTGCTCAAAATCGAGATTTTCCATTTTTAGGATTTTTTTGTGTGGAAACTATTCATTATCGGTCAAAACGGCACTATCTATTGACATAATTGGAACATTGACAGGGTGGTTCAAGATTCAGAATCCTGATCACTCTGTATCTGTTCCGATTATTGAATGTCAGTAGATAGTAAATCAAAAGTTAAGATACGGACATGAGAGCCGTTTTGACCGATAGTTTCGTCACAAAAAAATCCTAAAGTTGGAAAATCTCGATTTTGAACACTCTATATCTCTGTAATCATTCCCGCTAGACCCCAAGTATGATACATTGATCAAATCAGCTCTTCAGGGAGAATCTAAAAATACAATGAAAAATAGGGTGTTCCATTCAAAAAAATCAAATAGTACCCTGATGTAGATCGTTTGTTCCGAGCACCCTGTATTTTTTGATGTAGCAGAAAAAAACTTTATCGAAAATCATTCAAGCTGAAATTTCAAATTTTAAAATCGGTTCAAAGATAACTGATCTAGAGGGGGGGACATTTATGGTGAATCACCCTGTACTTCTTTCATACCTATGTAGTTTTGCAAACAAGCTTTCACGGTAGATCTTATGTAAGAAAACTCAGTTGATTTCATATTAAGATCTTCATATGAATTATAATTACAAGTGCATTTTTTTAGGTAGTATAATGAGCATAATAACTAGGATGTATAGGGTAGCAAAAAGATCCCTATCCACAAAGATGGTGTCAACAGATGACATTGGAAAATGCCAATCCCTTTTTGGCATCTTTGAAATCATAGCTCCAGCAGTCTCAGTACCTGCATTCAATCTCCTCTACATACATACATTGGAAGATTTTCCTGCAGTGATATTTCTCTTCAGTATTTTGCTTTATGCTATATGTTGTGTTCTCATACTGTAAGTATGAACTGAAGATATGAGGCCTGTTCCTTAGTTCCTTAGTAATGCTAAACTTACTAAAGTTGATTTTTTTTTCATAGTTGTCTATTCATGGCATGATGTAAACAGAGAGTCATGGAAAAAAATCAAGTTAAGCAACATAGAGCAAGCACAAAGGAACAGGCCTAGGATGTTCAAATAAGTATTAAATTTTAAAATTCAATGTGATCTATGTTTCAGGTGGATATATTTTAAAAATAAAGGAACCTGTGAAAAAAATTTAGAAGTTCCTGAAATCAATGAAACCATCATTGTTGAAACTACTCACATGTGATATTTATTTTAAATATAATAGGTATAAATTAATTCAAAGATTATTAATCTTACCTTGAACTGACTTAGAACTTGTAATTTGTAACAACTGGATTGATTTTGTCCAATAATTTTCTGTACACAGCCACATCTTTAGTGAGTTGTAAAGAAATGAACTTCTCATTATAAATTGGTGGTAATTGTATGTTGTTTTCTTTTGACCATTGTATGATGTCAAGGCATCTACTAGTGTTACCTTGTAGCACTAAAAACAATTAAGAATTAAGTATTGTCATTTCATATGATTTGAGCTTACTTTGGTAATCAAGTAGTGCTAAAAGTACCCCCTCACATTGGGGCTTCATCTCAAACTCAAGTAACATTTCAAGTAACCTGTAAACTGCCTCAACTCTATTGTTTCTTAATGATATTGCAACTACAAAAGGTATTCTGCTGATAACAGCTTCACACAGTCCATTATTTCTATTCAACAAATCTAAAGCAAGATTTTGATCTGTGAACCATTCACTCAAGAAACATATACATGTCAAGGGAAAGAAATCCTTGTGATTTATGGCCAAGTCCTCTGTAAACTTCACTATGGTTATCAATGCTGCTTCACTATGACTTGAAACTACATGTGCAATCAGAAATTTCAACATTAGTCTTATCCTACGTCTCAGGTATGTGTTTTCTGTATAAACAATCTTGAATAGTCTCAATGACTCATCAATGTTTCCTCTTATCCATACTGCCTCAGCTAAATAATGTTGAAAATGTGAATTTGGTTCTAGCAAACTGGGTTGCAGTTTCCTACAAAGTTCTATGATTTCATTTATGGTATTTTTGTCCCCACATTGAGCACAAATTGCTAATGTTGGTAGTAAATTGGTCAAAGAAGGACATTTCTCTTGGTTTATGCATTGTTTAATCAAACTGTAGAGTTTTTCATTGTCATTGACTTCAATGGCATTATGAAACAATGTATTCAGCTTATCCTCATCCAATGCCTGTATGTCATCTTCACAGTTGGGTTGATTGAGCTTCTTTCCTACTAAAATATTTCTTTGTGTTTTTTTGGCACACCATTTGTTCACTGTCTTTTGAATGAGGTGAGATGTGAAGTCATCTAACTTCAAGGATTCAATTTCTAAACTGACGGATTTACCATGAACACCATCAGTGCTGTAAGGACTTGTTCCAAGTGTTTTCAAGAATCTCAAGGATCGTAGAAATATCACACGATTCAGAATTCTACAATGATACAGGGACATCTGGATACATTTCAGAAAGAATATCTATTTGCGATCCAATGTTTATTTATAATTTTAGTAGAAGCAGGTTATCTCATATCTGTTCAAGAGTTTTACAGTTCCAGCTGCTTAGTGCTTAGTAGCTTTTAGTTTCATTTTCATGGTTAGTGCCCAACTTAACTAACTCTAACTGCTTATGCTTAGTGGCCTCAGTGCTTAGGTGCTTAGCTTACTGCTTCTGTTCTGCCAAGTTCTGCCCTTGGCTTGTAGCTAACTTTTTTTCTCACTTCTGCTTCTTATTTCTTCTCTTAGTTCTCTTCTCAATTTTTTTTCTCAGCTTATTTTTTTTATCATTAGAATGCATAGTTGGGTACCTTTAGCCCAATGAGCCCTAAGGTGCCGCTTGAAAAGGTTAGGAAGTTGGAACAATTTGAAAGTTCTCTTGTGTCACTTCTTTCTTTTTCACGTCATACAACACTTTTTTTGGCTGTATGTCATAGGACAAGAGGCCAGGAAGTTAAGAAGAAAAAGAAGAAGACTTTTTGACAACAGTCACATTCACATAACCCTATGTGGTTTTTCATATTTTTTGTATATATTTATGTTGTTTGCTGCTGTTTTCTAGATGTTGTTATGAGTTGTGAGCAACCTAGAAGGTGGGCATTATTTTGAAAGCTCTTGTTTTGAAGAAATATGTAATGCTTGTGGTAATGCTGAAAGATAAATACTGTGGAATAACTCGAATATGTGTTATATTATTCCTTGGAATTATTCTCGACTCTCTTTCCAAAGTCGGAGGAGATGTCGAAAACCATATTATGGTGAACTGTGATACTTTACGAATGGGGCAGTACCTATGCCCTGATCCTGCTTATGTTGATGACTTAATAGACCCCAAAACGCAGCAACTCCATGGATGTACAAGAGAAAATAAAGCTAAGGGTACTGATTCTTTGACAATTCCTTTGAGTACTAAGAATATGTATTTCATTTTGTGTTTTAGTGAGATGCATAGCAGTGGAAGGCTTGATATGCAACAATACATCAAACTCAACATTTTTCAGAGAAATGCCATGCCAATGGACGTGAGTAGAAATAAGATGATCTCAATGTTTGAAATGATGATTTTAAAAAATATTTTTAGGAATGGCTATTCATTTGAAACAGCACTTCTACTTTCTATTTTTCTTGGAATGTTTGGTATTGATCGATTTTATTTGGGATATCCTGCAATAGGTTTAGCAAAGTTTTGTACATTAGGGTTCATGTTTATAGGGCAATTGATTGATATAATCCTGATAGCAACACAAACTGTAACTCCAGCTGATGGATCAGCTTATGTAATTCCATATTATGGACCACGTATTGAGGTCATTAGAAGTGATAATAACACTTATAGATTAAGACAAGAGGATTGGTGAAATAGGTATTTATTTAAAAAATAAAATATTTGCTATGAAAATATATTGTTATATGTTGAAAAAGTTGATAGGTAGTGCTGATGTGCTCATAATAAGTATTCACATTCCAATCCATATAGGTAACTGGTGCAAATCCAAATACTCTTTTTAGTGTCTACTAAGGAAGTGTATAGGCTGCCGACCAGTTGGCGAACTTTACCTTCTTTCTAGAATGCCGACCATTCAATGGAATACATTCTTTTTTGTATAATATCGGTGGGCAACCCAAAAAAAATATTCTATGCTTACTGGTCAGCAGCCTATACTTTTTTATTGGGATGCTGACCAGTCGGCAGACTATACTTTTTCTCTAAACTGCCAACCATTCAGTATTCAGTGGAATACATCCTTCCTGTATAACAAAATGATCCAAGACTGTTAGTAGCTCAGTGTTTTTTCAGATTTTTTGTTTACTATAATGGGTTAGTCTGTTTGGTTGAGTATACCTCTACATCACTTCCTTTTAATATTTTATTATTTTCTAATCTAGTTTTTCCTTCCTCCATTGTCATTTCACAAGATATTTTTTGATCAGGTTTTTGTTCCACCAATAGATTAGTGTGTTTGTGTATGTATATCTCATTTTGTTTTTTTTTTGTTCAAATCATGTTTTTTCTTCCTCAAAATTGATAATTTCAGTCTACTGATGGGCGGCATCCTAAACAAATAGTACCACATTTTCAATTTTGTGGGTTATAAGACACATGAATGCAAGACAAATGTTGCTCGAATCTAAAACTAAGCATCAATTCGAAATTCGAATCGTGAGATTTACATAGAGTATATAAATCTATCTGAATTTTGTTTCCAACATCCATAACTGAAAAACATTGTATATACCTAACCCACCATGCGCCGACCTCCTTTGCAGAGAGGGTTTATAAACGCCGAGTTGATACTCTCCCCTCGTAAGGATACCTGTCGTGTTTCCATAGAGACATAAAGGTGAATATCTGTCTATCTGTTTGCTTGAGAATATGGGAAATAATTCAATATATCGCCTTCCGTACGAACATAAGGATCAGAATTCTTAAAAGTATACTCTGGTCAGTTCTCTTTGCGGGTTTTCTGTTCGGTCCGTCTTGACTGGATTGTTTTCTCCAATTTATTGACAAGTATCAAACACTTTGCTTTTAGGATCTGCAACTAAATATCATCACATATCAGAAAGTTCATGAGAATTAAAACTGAAGTTGAATCTGAAACATACCTGAATAATATTTCCAACAACCGTAACAGGATTGCTACATATTCGCTCTCATTCCGAAAAGTGGTTTTCCCAGTAAACATCTTCCACATTCTCAATTTTGTGGGTTATAATAAGGAACATGAATGCCAAACAATATGCTGTTCGGATCTAAAACCAAGCATCAATTTGAAATTCGAGTCGTGACACGTACATAGAATATAAATCTACGAAGACTGGATATTGTTTTCATTATTCGTAACTAAAACGCGATATATTTTTATGATTATTCATCAATGCAGACGAAATAGGCAGATAAACAACGATTTTCTCTGCAATGAAAAACACTGTATATACCTAACCCACCATGCGCCGACCTCCTTTGCAGAGAGGGTTTATAAACGCCGAGTTGATACTCTCCCCTCGTGAGGGTACCTGTCGTGTTTCCATAGAGACATAAAGGCGAATATCTGTCTATCTGCTTGCTTGAGAATTTGGAAAGGAATTCAATATATCGCCTTCCGTAGGGATATATGGATCAAAATTCTGAAAAGTATACTCTGGTCAGTTCTATTTGCGGATTTTCTATTCGGTCCGTCTTGACTGGATGGTTTTCTCCTATTTATTGCCATGTTTCAAACACTTTGCTTTTCGGATCTGCAACTAAATATCACATATCAGAAAGTCCATGACAATTAAAACTCATGTTGAATCTGAAACAAACCTGAATAATATGTCCAACAACTGTGACTGGAATATGCTTCATATTCGCTCTCCTTCCAAATAGTTGTTTTCCCAGTAGACATCTGCTACATTTTGAATTTCGTGAGTTATAATAAGGACCATAAATGCCAAACAGTGTGCTGCTCGGATCTAAAACTAAGCATCAATTTGAAAGTGGAATCGTGAAACCTTCATAGAATATAAATCTATAAAGTCTGGATATTGTTTTCAACATGCGTAACTGAAATGCGATAAATTTTTATGATTATTCATCAACTTTCTCAATGCAGACGAGGTAGGCAGATAAACAACGATTTTCTCTGCAATGAAAAACACTGTATATACCTAACCCACCATGCGCCGACCTCCTTTGCAGAGAGGGTTTATAAACGCCGAGTTGATACTCTCCCCTCGTAAGGGTACCTGTCGTGTTTCCATAGAGACGTAAAGGTGAATATCTGTCTATCTGTTTGCTTGAGAATCTGGAAAGGAATTCAATATATCGCCTTCCGTACGAATATAAGGATCAGAATTTTGAAAAGTATACTCTGGTCAGTTTTCTCTGCGGATTTTCTTTTCGGTCCGTCTTGACTGGATGGTTTTCTCCGACTTAGTGGCAAGTATCAAACACTTTGCTTTCTGTCTGTTTGCTTGTTAATCTGCAAAAGAAATCCGATTTAGACTAAATTCTTGCAGCATTACCGAAGTTTACGCAATATTTTCATAATATAACAATTATACAATTTCGCATTTTTCCACTGCTGAATAACCCATTTCAATTCAAAGACCGACAGAGATGTCAAAAAATGCCTGTTTTGTTTCCATGGCATTTCTGTTGTGTCCACAGCTATCTAAATGTTATTGGCAACTTTCAATCCCAAATGAGTGAAAAATGGTTTTAGGAAAAATTTGCAAACTATACAGGATGTCCGGAAAGGTAATGTTGTAAATGATAGAACTGGTAGAGTGAGCCAAAATAATGTTGGTACTTCATATAAAAAAAAAGTATATCGCGCTTCGTTTCGGAGATATTGACCTTGAAAGTAAGATTAAAAAAAAAAGAATTTCATGTATATAACTTTCAAACTATCATTATTTTTTGAAATACTGAAAATGTAACAAGCACTCGAAAATATCTGATAAACAATTATTCTATGGAATGAAAACTATCGATAGTTCACCTAATTTGACTCTAATGAAGTTGAACTTAGAGGACTGATTATTTTTTTGTGATAAAATTGGAATTTGAATCAGGAGTTCAACAAAAATTCTATTTCGAAAAATGATGATAAAAAAAATTCAAATTGGACGCACCCTGTTGAAAAGTCGTTGAATATACCTATCGAGTATGAATCGATTATATACCATGGTTCAGAAGTTCTGAGCTGACCAGATAGAGATTTTGCCAAAATAAAGATTAGGTACATTCTGTTTCACAGTTATAAAAGATAGAAGACTCATCGATGTATGTATATTTAAATCTGAAACACCCAGTATAGGCAAAAAATATGTTTTCATGGAATAATCTCGAATCGTCTTATTTTCTACTGGTTTGCTCTTTTCGCATCATTTTCTTCTGAAAAAATACCGTTGTGGACGGAAAGTATGAATTTCAGAAGAAAGTATTACTTCATCGGAAAATATTCAACAAACGGTACCTTTGTGATTTTGAAAACATAAGGTAATTAAGTTAAATATAAACAGGGAACTATGAGGAAAATTTGAGAAAATCTCTCTCCACTCACCAGCGTGAATAATGTGAGGATTTGATGAAACAACACGAAACACCAGAACAGCACACGATGGCGATAATGTAATCACTGAATTAAATGAGGAACACAAAAACAGAATACTTGCACTCATGTTCAAGTGAACACTCCGTTTGGAACGATAAATAATTCCTTTCGAGTATATTTCAATTGCGATCACAAAATTCGACCGTTCGTGATGACATCTAATATAAGACTGTCTTGATTCACCACCTGGTCTCGAATGAATGATTAATAGGTTGAATCATGCTGCTAACCGATTAATTTCCTAACAAATGATTCATCTATGACTAATGACAACTATGATGATGATGAAATTATACGGAGAGAAGAGATATATGGAATACAAAATATATGATGAAGAATTGAACCCGAATATACTGGCACTATTATTTCCGAAAGTCTAATGATTTGAAAAAATTAAACAGACTGAAAATATACTTTTGGTCTTTATTTTTCCAACCACTGTGCATAACTCGAGGCATAACTGCAAAATCAAATTTGTGTTATCATTATTTTTTGAAATAGTGAAAATGTAACGAGCACTCCAAAATATCTAAACTATTTGACAAATTATTCTATGGAATGAATTCTATCGATAGTTTACTTAATTTGACGCTAATGAAGTTGAAACTTGAGAACTGATATTTTTCTTGCAATGAAATTGAATTTTCAATTACGAGCTCAATAAAATTCTATTTCAAAGAATAATGATGAAAAAAAAAGTCAAATTGGAAGCGCACTATTAAGAGGTATGCCAATTCATTAGTTTTACCGCTCTTTGCAAATATCAAAACATATCTACAAAATTCCGATATAGAGTGTTGTTTTTGAAAAAGAAGAAGTTTTTTGTTTTTCCTGAAGACGGTTCTGGATTGTAAATTTGATTCCTATTTAGTTTTGATGAATAATATAATTTGAATATCGATTATACAGATTTTGCCAAATTCAATATTACGTTCTGTATCGCAGTTATAAAAGATGGTAGACACATCGATAGGGGGTGATTGGAACCACCAAAGTTTCCTATATCTGCAGGTATAGTGAGTACATTTGAATCTGAAACACCCTGTATTGGCAAAAGGTATTTTTCCATGAAAATTTCGAATCGTCTTATTTTCTACTGGTTTGCTCTTTTCGCATTATTATCTTCTGAAAAAATATAGTTCTGAACGGAAAGCACGAAAATCAGAAGAAAGTATTCCTTCATCGGAAAATATTCAACAAGCGGTACCTTTGTGCTTTTGAAAACATATAAGGTAATGAAGTTAAAAGGAAAGAGG